TGCAACACGTGTAGCGCTGGCTTTTCTCATAGAACCCAAAATGGTAGTGATAGCACAAGAAAGCCTTGGGTCATCTGCAGAATCCTTATTTCTGGACCATTTTTTATCCGATAGTGAAATGGGAGGTCCCTACACAGTTAAATCTGTATTTCTCTCTTCAGGTAGCCACCCCATGACACATGACACGAATGTAATTTGTTTTGTTTCCGGCAGCTTGAAGATCATGAGTATAAACCTTTAGATCCTAAAGATATACGTCTTCCACCCCCAATGCCCCCCAGTGAGAGACTACTGGCTGCGGTTGAGGCATTTTATAGTCCACCATCTCATGACAGGCCTAGAAACAGGTAAGAGTAGGTATAGCTAACGGTCTGGTAAGGAAAATGCCCTGAGAAGCTCTCTCAAACCACGAAGTGCCTCTCTCTTCCTTCGCCTGTGTCTTGGTTCTTCTAATGCTGAAATGAGAGCTCTTGTTGTATTTTAAACTGCACACGCTGTTTGATCTCGCACTGAGATTTGTGAGACCTTTTTGCCCAGTTCCCTACAAAATCCAGCGGCAATCCTGAACGTCTCTGTTGATTGAAGTAAGAGTTTTACAGATGTCGGTTCTGTGTGTGGTTGATTTATTGCAGTGAAGGCTGGGAGCAGAATGGACTGTACGAATTCTTCAGAGCTAAAATGAGAGCAAGGCGGAGGAAAGGTCAGGAGAAGAGAAATAGGTGAGAGATCCTGTCTGCTGTCTTCTGATGCATGCTGCTTGTTTGGAAGGTGCTGGGAATACTTTGGGCTAAACGTAGAGTGTTCAGCAACATGCTGATGGAATAACTAAGTTTCAACTCGCTGGAATTTCTCTAATCTGCAGAAAATAGTTTTTGCCACACTCAAGTTTTCAGTGGATTGTCTGCAGAAATACAGTGCTTGTGTGTGATATGAATTTGATCAGAAGTATATTTGTGTTTGTTGAACTTCTCCCAGGAGTTTCACTGGGTTTTCTCTGCTTTTATCTGTGCAGTGGGCCTTCTAGGTCTCGCAGTCGGTCTAAAAGCCGAGGTCGCTCATCCTCACGGTCCAATTCACGATCTTCAAAATCATCTGGCTCCTATTCGAGGTCACGATCTCGCTCTTGCTCTCGATCACGATCCTATTCACGCTCTCAGTCCAGGTAGAGTGCAACGGGCTGAATCGGGGACTGGATGGGGTGGAAGAAAAACAATCCTCAGGGCTAAACAGGGAACCCTGGATGTTGCTCTAGTGATCTCCTGTGCTCTCCCTTTCCAGAAGCCGGAGCAGGTCCCGCTCTTCTCATAGCCGCTCGCGATCACGGTCACGATCAAGATCGAAATCGTACTCGCCAGGAAGGCGGCGCCGGTCCCGGTCTCGCAGCCCCACTCCTCCGTAAGCTTGTGTTTATTTCTCTTTTTACCTGAGTTGCTTGGAAAAGTACCAACAAGAGTGCTTTCTCATGAGCTGGGTGTATTAAGCATTTCAACAAAGTAGAAAAGAAAATGGAAAGCAGATTTAGAAATGACTTATTTACTAAATGTCCTTATAGAGAGAATATTATTCTGTTGTGGCGGCTTTTTGTTATAACAAAACCCTGTGCAGCTGGGTTGCCTTCCTAGGAAGCAGGAGGAATCCTCCGAGTACTCTCTTAGGAAGGCTGTAGTGTTTGATTTCCCTTGTACTGAGAAGCAGGCAGGGTGTTTCTGGAACCTTTACAACACCATAATCTAACAGCTTTATAAAAGAACAGCTTGATAGAGTGGATGGGGTTACCCTGGGTGTTAATGTTTAACAGAATATGAGTGACCTTGCTTTGTGTCAGAACTGTATTGCTTGTTCTTAATTTGTTCTTTTTTATTTCCTTAGTTCTTCTGCTGGTTTGGGCTCCAGTTCTGGGCCTCCTATACCAGAATCAAGACTTGGAGAAGAAAATAAAGGCCATCAAATGCTAGTGAAAATGGGTAAGATGCTGTTCTGGAATCTTACACAAGCCAGGAAACAAAATCGGGCACTAACTCTTGGGTACAAGGATATTCAGAGCTATAAGTGTATAGAACATGGAGCAGGGGTGGTAGTTGCCTTTTTGGGATCGATATGGAAGACATCCCATAGAACTTGCCCCCCCCAAGGTATTCCATCTCCCTGTGGAGCAGATAGCAGGGTTGACTGGACACATTGGGCTTGCGTTTTCTCTCCCCTTGCCCTCTTAAAAGTTTTTAGGGGTAGTGCTGCTGTTTGGCAGCTCCCAGAATCTCTGTGTTTTAATGCTTTTGAAATAGATGGGACAGTTCATATACTGTCTCAGGCTGTTACCATCCTGCTCTAACAAATTGACACTTTCTTTCATGGTTTCCAAAATGTCTGTTTGTGTTCAGAATTCTAGTAATAAAGAAAACCCACAGGATTGCAATGTTTGTCCTTTCTGCAGGATGGAGTGGATCTGGTGGACTGGGAGCCAAGGAACAAGGAATTCAGGATCCAATTAAAGGAGGGGATATCCGAGACAAATGGGATCAGTATAAAGGAGTGGGAGTTGCATTAGATGACCCTTATGAAAACTACAGAAGAAATAAAAGTTACTCGTTTATCGCACGCATGAAGGCCAGAGACGAATGTAAGTGAATGTTTCTAAGCAATTTAAAAACCTGTGCAGACTTGAGAGTGATTTTGTACTATTTACTGTAGACTGTAAACCCAAATCTAAAGACTAATAACTCTAAATTCTTTCTAATACAATGGATACAGTAGAACAGGTAAGTAGACATATACTCTTAATTTCTCAGCTTTCTTTTTTTTTAGGAGTTGTATTGTATTCTCATTTCGGAAACAATTCATTTGCCCGTTCTGTGTAAGCCTCTCCTGGCAGTGATACCAACATCTTTAAATGTTACCCTTCAAAAAACAGGAGCAATCCCAGAGGTAGTGGAGGGAGCAGGAAGGTCTTTGTGGTTGGAGTGAAGTTAGACTATGCTTACTGTTTGGCCCTGCCCAATTCTGAGTTGCCTAAAATCAGCGTTGTGTTCTGCCAAAGCCAGAACTGGTAATGAACTCACTGCAGTGCAGGAAGGTTCAAGAACAGTGGAGGTGCTGCTTAAGAGATGAAGACAATTACCAAAATGGAGAGAGTCTGTTATGTAGAACAACTACACTTGCCAATGACTAAAAGGAAAAAAAAAATTGGCATGCTAAATGAAAAGTCACTTCTGCGTATGGCTGCAGTAGATCTGTGTAAGAAAATGGGTTCAAACAAAGCCCAAAAGGAAAGACTCCTTATTAATAGAGCCCTTATTCCATGAAACATTTCAGACAGCTTAGGTAACTGCAGAATGAGTAAGAACTCTTTTCGCTGTTGTTTCAGTGAAGCGTGACACGCAAGACCCTCCACCACCCGAATAAGACTCTCTGAAGAAAGATGTCTTGCATCTTCTACAAAACATTAAACTTGTATAAATCAGGATTAAAGTCTGGAGGAAGTGACAAATGAATCACTTAAAAACTATGGTGAAAAATGGAAAGCTATGACATGTACTTCAACACTTGTCATTTAGTGCTTAAAAAAGGCCAGTCGTTACTATGACATGTCTAGCAAGTTTAACAATTTCCATTTATTTTGCAAATTTTTTTAATTAGTTGCCCATTTTATACTAGAATTAAACCCCGGCCAAGCTCTCCCTAGTCCAGGATTGCGATTGATTCATTCCTGTGGAATACAAGCGTTATCTGACACAGTTGTATGTTCTGTAGTTCCATAATGTATGTTTATTTCTCTCAAAAGGTTAATTCTATTTGAAGTGGAGGGGTGCTGCCTTGGGATCAAGTCAGACTGATGCTGAGCAGTGTATCCTAATGTCTAAAGGGGGAAGGAAGCATCTAGTTCCAGTACAGGTGACCTATGAGCACTGTGCGAGCTTGTTAGAACCTACCCTCCAACCTAACGCCCCTACACACCAGCTGCTGCAGTCACAACACGAGGGTTCACTGTTGTAGCTTTTCGAGCGCTCTAAGGGATGTTCAATGCTTTGTAACGGAAGACATTCTTTAAGCTTTTTATATTTTTGTATATACACCCTTTAATAAAAGCTAATTAGTTGAATAGAAGAGAATCAGTTTTCTCTGCTCTGCAAGTTTCTAACAGTGAAACGTTCTTGGAACCTTCCTCGACTCTAAATGAGAATAAAAGCCCTTTTGTAACTGTTTCCAGAGACCACCAGCTGAAGATGTTAGGCCCTTACACTGCACTTCCACTCCAGCCGTCTGCGTGGTGGTAACCTCTCCCCCTGTCATGTGTTTGTATAGCTGAAACCCTCTTCAAACCATTCGATTAATATGGTGAAATATCAGTTTGTTCTAGATCTACTGTAGTTGTGGAACTGTAACTGTCTGTGAAGCAGCATACAACACCTGTATGTTATCAACTTGTGAATTTTATTGGTTTGCTTTTCAATAAACACTTTTTTTTTTTAATAAAAGTAAAATGGTGGCTCATTTCTGAGAGTAAATGGATTTCAGTACATTGGCTGTAAGCCTTCCTTGTACTGAATATATCTGAGCTTTGCGTGTGTTTGGTTTTGTAGTAATCTGACAAGGCTAATTATATATAAACTGTTTAAATATGGTGCTAAAGTCAGGATAGGATATTTTTCTACTGTGATCGTATTCCCTGGGTGCTGTAGTACAGACTTTCCCTTCTACCATGATCACAGATCACACGATCTACATGATAAACCTGCACACTGTGCTGACTTACCACACTCCCTTTAGAGAGAAGTGTTTTCTTGGTTTCTTTTTTGCTGAATGCTGACATAGTCTGGTCGAAGGCTCCTGCCTATTCTTATAGCATGTACATAAGTAAAAAAAATCAGATATAGAAAAATAAATTATGTATAACAAGATATAGACCTGTTTAGTACAAATCCTTCCAGTACAGTTCATAACATTTTTTTTCTGTGCAATGTGGAAGGGTTTCTTGTTCTGCAAATGTAAACTTTACTTAAAATTCAGAGCCAAAGCAGTTTTTCCTCCTGTGCTTTCCGAATTTCTTCACGTGCTTGCTCAATTGTTAGAGGTGGGGATTTGTGATTCTTGATGTACTGCAAAAAAAAAAAAAATTAATATACAAGTCTCCTTATTCTGTAGATAAACACTTTCTAGTATTTAATAAATAATAAATCTTCACATCATCTTCATACTTTTGTATCTTAGCAAGAGAAACCAATACTTCTGTTGCGATGTTAGGAAGATCCTCGCTCCTTTGAGGACAGCTAAATGGCACAGCTTATTCTTTCAAAACTGGCCTCCAGTAAGACTTCAGTCTTTTTTTACTGTATGAACTCCTGACCTGTTATCAATACGGGCACAAGCAATATAGTATTCTTCTATGAAGTATTTTATTCAATGATAATATGAACTTTATCTGATTAATGAATAACATGCAAAGATAATCTGTTTGATGCAAATACTAGGAGTGTTCGGAAAGGCATAGATATGTACTCTCTCTATCATAAATACCTCTTTAGCCTCTTCCAAGGTATGGTAGTGGAACTTCTCACTCTCTAAGGACTCCACAAGGGAGAAGTGAAGGTGGTGAATGTTCTTTACAAACTGCTGAGTCAACATCAGGTGCTGTTTCAACATGTTGTTTAAAACAAGAACTGAGGGGCTGTATGCTGTCAAGGCTGCAAGAAATGGAGAGTATGTATGTTAGTGATATGTTACAGGGGGACAGTGAGGGCTACGCAATCCAAATGGGTTAGATGCATAAAATACAGTAAAACAGAATAGTAAGAAACGTGTTTTTCAGTACCTTCTACTGCGTCCATGCTGATGACGTGACTGGCAATCGGCACTGGATCAATGTAGCTGTTTCCTACGGGTGGGTCGAGTACTGCAGTGGCGTTTGCTGTGCCGGATAAAATCAGAATGAGTGGGTTTGCAGGGCGGGAGGGTTTAGTGCTAGAATTCGGTCTGTGATGAGTGATCACTTTAGTAACAATACAACAGTAGTGTTTACAACAGAACAGATACAATAAAAGTGTTGAATTCTGTTTAATATTAGGCTCTTGCAAGCTCTGTCGCTAACACTAGCTCATCCATCCTGAGTTCCTGGTGTGGTTTTTTTTGGTTTGGTTTTTTTAGCAAAAACCAGTTCAAATTCTTATTCTGTTGTCCAATCCCAATCTACAGATACCAGATTCAAGTTTTGAGCTTTAGAAAGTTTTTAATATCAGCTAGGGGAAGCTAGTACTGAAACTAAGACCTCTAGGCTAGCATATAAAATACAAAAATATAAAAATTGCCTGAATAGGGCAATATCTCGTGAACTTACTCTTGGACCAGCAATAGGTGAATGGCAGATCCACTGTCTGAACTGCAGTTTCTTTAACGGTTACTCTGTGTACCTGGTCATGCCGCTCTCTGGTACATAAAGGTGATGATGCTGAAGATGGGTGTTTTCCAGAATGCCTGCAGTTCTCAGAATGTTCCTCTGACATTTTGCATGCAGATTTATTGTCTGTTGTAGACAGAGACGTTTCAAAGTCTTCAGAATATTCTGAATTAACAGTTCTCTCATCATGATCAAGATAATCCTGCTTGTGTCTAGGAAAATCTGCAGCAGCTCCACTTAAATGCTCAGAGATTTCTGCTTCAGTCACAGTTTTTTCAATATCCCCTTCAGAAGCATCATTCACACTGGTTACTGCACTAGGCATTTTAAGAGAAGTTTGGTCTTTTTCCACCAGGAATGCATCTTTTTTTGGATTTCTGTTTGATTCTTGAGTAATTTGAATGTCTGTTCCCTGTAAAACAAAACAGCTGTATGCTAGGAGAATCAACAAAATAGAACCTAGAATATCCATCCATTACTCTTCACCTTTTCTGCAGCAAGTTAGCTCCAACTTTATTAGGAAATAGAAATGTTGCTCTTTTGTCTCACCTTGCAAACTATGCAGCACTGTTACATTTACTAAGGAAATGCTGACACTAAAAAAAGAATTTGGTCAGGTTTCAGCGGACAGTAAAATCCTGATCCTTATGGACATGCCCACCCCAGATAGCCTATGAGTAGAAGTATTTATTTTAGAATATCCACCCTCCACCAAAGGCAGAATGGAAATCTCTGCTAGGAGGGAATTTCTACTTACTTTCTGCTTTAATTCTGCTGTCTCACTGGTGATATTTGGTGCCAAATCATCAAGGCTCAGGATATTCAGTTTGAAGTCTGCAATCAAATGACAAATTGTCACGAGACTTTGCATGAAAATTACAGTATGCTTTCCCTTAAGCAAGAAAAGCAGAAAAAAACCCCCCAATACTACATTCCTAGTGTAATACTAAGAATTAGTAGCAGTCAGTCACTCTAACCCTTTAACTTAGCAGCAGCTCTTTCTGAAGTTTCCTCTTTTGCTGGTCGGTGGATCTGCTAACCCAAGTTCAAGAGATTCTTGCTGCCCCTCATTTACACTTGTTCTCACTCAGACCCATTGTCCCACTGATACAGGAAAACTATTCTAAATGTTGTAATTGTTTTGCTGTCATATTTAAGAGTCACCCAGGGAAGCACCATTAAATTGAACCCATTAAATCAAAAGCCAGGAAAAATATATTACACAAGAAAAAAGAAGCATCAACATAATTCCTTTGATAAAGCCTCAGTTTATGTAAAATTACACCAGTAAAGCCTTTCAAAGTGAGTATTTGCCCATGTTTAATGGTAAATTTATCAGTAGATTATTAGTACAATTCATGACAAGTCTACTGAGACAATATTTTAGAACACTTACCACTTGAGCTGCTGCTGGTTGAATCTTCTGCATCATCTGCTTTTGGAAACAATTCATCTAATGATTTTATTTCACTTCTGTCACTTTCAAGTGATATTTGGCTTTTCTTGGTGTTGCCTGTTGTAGGCAGAGTGATCTTTACAGTATTGTCTTTCACAGAAGACAACAGTGACTGAGATCTCATATTACCCCATCCTGACAGGTTTCTGCTGGCTGCTGAAGGTGTTGGTGTATTAACTCTACTGTAAACATCTTTCTCCAAGTCTTTGCTATGAGAAGAAGATGCTTTAGGTACTTCTGTTGGTGAAATTTCCTTATGAGATGGAGGAGGCATCGCTGACAAAACTGGAGCCTTACTCTTTTGAAGAACATGAAAAAAGAAGTTTACATGTTCCTTCATTAATTATGTGTAGATCACTAAAAAGGAAAACAAACTATAACAGGTGAAAAACAGTAGCTTTAAATTGTGAATTGAAGTTAAACCATATCATGAGCAAGCCACAAATGAAAATTTCAATTTACTTTCTGGTGTTATCTAAATAGAAAGTTACCTACCAATTAAACAATTTCATAAAAGTGTAAATAAAAAATACATAATCCAGTGAAGCCTGTATTACCTTTCCACCCCATTCTGAATGACTTTCAACAACCTTCCGATTCTTGTTTCCACTGGAAAACTCCAAAGAGCTCTCCATCAATTCTCTTATTTCCTCTTCCTCACTATCCAAACCAAGCTGTTGTTTAACCATAACATTCTTCTGAGGGCTTTGGGTGCTTTCCTCTTCCTTAGAACAGGCATTACTAAGGTTTTTATTTCCACTGGGGGTAGCATAATTCTTCAGATATTTCTTGCCCCTTGCACTGTGTTCGTGACTGGAAGCAGAGGAGGAGGACTCTTCATCCAAAGCCTTCTGGCCCAAGTCAGTGTTTTGCAATTCCATCTGCTTTTTCCGATTCATGATTTTGCTTTCTAGTTGTGCCACTTTCCTCAGAGCTGAGCTGGACCGTGCGCGGGCAGCGCTTCCCGCAGTGCTGCTCGCTGTCTGCACAGCGCTTCCCGACGCCTGGCACCACCGCCTTCCAGGTACGTTTTCACTGTGCGCCTTCAGGAACCTGCTGCGGCAGAACGGAGCCCTTCCAGCTTCCTCCAGCTCCCTGCCAGCCGCAGAGCGGTCACCCCAGGACCGAGGGAGGCCGCTGCGCCCGGCTGCGGTGCTTCTCCAGCGGGGAGCATCGCCGTGGCCCTGCGGGGAAGAGGATGCAGAGAGCCCCCGGCTTCAGCTCCCAGCT